AAAAAAAAAAAAAAATCCTTTCATGACATTGTAAAATAGGCCTAATAAGGACTAATTTTAAAATCTGACAAAAGAACAACTTCATTCATTGAACAAGCATTTACTCAGTACCCTCGAGGCACCAGGCACTGTTCTAGGCACTCGAACCACAGCACTGGAGAAGACAGACGGAAGTCCCTGACTTCTTTTCTAGTTGAGGAGACATAAAAGGAATGGGAAAACAAATCCATAACTTCCTTTGGAGATAGTTACAGTGGAGAACAATAATACACGGTCAGGGGAAGAGTTTGTCAGAGGCTGTTCCTAGGCAGGTGGTCTGGGAAGGCCACTCAGGGGACCTCATGCTTTCATTGAATGGGGCAAAGACCCAACCTTTCCAAGGTCTCAGGACGATCATTCCAGACACGAGTATCAGGGCCTAAGGCAAGAGCAGGCTTGCATGGGCTGAGGAATAGTAATGAAACTGGCATGGGTGAAGAATGGGGTAACCAGGGGCAAGATGACGTGGCTCTGGCAGACAGGTCACGGTGGAAGCTTCAGCTCTCACCCAAGGACAATGGGAAGTGATGCAGGGTTGAGCAGAGGAGTAACACTGCAGGTGTTCGAACCCACGGCGATGGGCTGGTAGGGGGTTGGAGAGCAGGGAGGAAGACCAATTGAGTGTTATTGCAGTGGCCCAGGGGAGAGAGGGCGGCAGGGTGCGTGGGACAGTAGCAGTGGAGGTGGTGAGAAAGGCCTGGATTTAGAAAGCATTTTGAACTGATGGCTGACAGGACCGGCAGATGGATGGGAGGTGTGGTTCAAGGAACGGAGAAGAATCAAAGATGATTCCTAGGGTTTGGGCTTTCTTGACGGGATCAGTGGTGGTGCCATTACCTGAGATGGGGGTAATCAGGGAAGGGGAGGTCAGTGGTAGGGAATCAAAAGCTACATTTTTGAACGTGTTAAGTTTGAGATGCCAACTAGGTATCCCAGGAGGGGGGGGAAGTGAGTTTGGACTCAGGAGAGGTGTGGGGTCAGAAGTATAAATTGGGTAGTTATCAGCATAAAGGTGGTACTTAAAGCCATAGGACTCAGTGAGGTTACAAAGGAACTGAGTCCAGATGAAGAATAATAAAGTGGTCAAGGTCGGCATGAAGAGGGGAAGCCAGCAAAGGAGACTGAGAAAAAGTGAGCACTCGAGTAGGAGGAACCCCGGGCAAGTATGGTGTCTGGAAGACAAGAGGGGAAGATGTTTCCAGAAGGAGGTAATACCAAAATGAGAGAAACGGTGGAGGGCCAAGACAGTTGGCTTGGAGGAGGTCATCAGTTTTGGGGACAATTAAAAAAGGCCTTTGGGGCGCCTAGGTGGCTCAATCGGTTGAGCGTCTGACTTCGGCTCAGGTCACGATCTCACAGTTCATGGGTTTGAGCCCTGCATCAGGCTCTGTGCTGACAGCTCAGAGCCTGGAGCCTGTCTTCGGATTCTGTGTCTCCCTCTCTCTGCCCCTCCCCTGCTCATGCTCTGTCTCTCTCTGTCTCAAAAATAAAAAATAAATAGTAAAAAAAAAAAAAAAAAAAAATTAAAAAAAAAGTTCTTTGCTTCCGATTTCCGCGAATGCAATTATCGTGTTGTTTATGAGATCCACAAAATGCAAAAGATGAGCAAGCAGAATTCAGAGATTAATTTTAAAACCCACCAGCCAACAAAATTAACAACTGCTCTTGCCCGGAAGGTTTGCCATGGCCTTCTCAAGAGGCCTCTTCTCATGAGGATGCCTCTGCTGCCCTTGGAGCCTGGCGAGAACATTTCTCCTTCTCATCAAATTCATTCTTACCTGCATCAGTATCTCTGCCTCATCTTCTTTGAATCCCAGGTCAACTGAGTGAGGTCCCTGGGCTGGCCAGGCCCTCCCAGGAGACGGGCCCCATGACACT